AAGGAAGGAAGGAAGGAAGGAAGGAAGGAAGGAAGGAAGGAAGGAAGGAAGGAAGGAAGGAAGATTATAATGAGAGTGAGTGAGGGTCTCACAGAAGTCCTGCTTTAGCAGTTGGTCACCACCGATGCCCCCAACATGAGTCCCATGTCACACCCACCATGACAATGCCCATCTCCCATTCCTCCAAGGTCAAACACAACCCTGATGCAGCCCTCAATGAAATTGAGTTTGACACTCCTGACATAAAGCATCTTAGAAGAAACTGTAAAAAGTAAAATTGAGTGGGACATGGGAAAAGAACTCCATCCTTCTTCAATCTGAGTCCTTCAAGAAATGTTGGGGCAAAATTCCCATAATGCCTGGCCACTAGCCATTATGGCTGGACCTGATATAAGTTGGCCCAACACATCTGGATGGAACCAGCTTCAGAAAGGATGGGTTCAATCAAATCTTTCTTTCTTGAGTCTATATAAATGTAGGAAGACAGGGAATATATATTCCTCTGAACCTGTTACTTACAATGCACGTTAAGAGTGATAGTAGTTTCATTTTGTCCTTCTTCGTTCTCGCAGTGGATCCTGTATTTGCCAGCATCGGCTCGAGTCACATTCCAGATCTCCAGAGATCCACCATCCCGCAAGTGGTAGCGTGGGGAACCCTCTACAACAGAGACAATCCATCACAAGTCAATCTCCACAAAGAAACAAGCACTTGGAGCACCAGGGCAAGCATGGGGGGGGGGGATTTCATGGGTCAATCCAACCGTGGTCAATGATTCAATGTTCAAATGTTCTTCTGCATCAGGTTTGCTACCATCCTAATTCTTAATTCCATCCCGCAATTAAGGAGAAACTTCCTGAGAGTGAGAACAAATATCCAGTGGAACAGATTGCCTTCAGAAATCATGAGTGCTTCATCACTGGAGTTTTTTAAGAAAAGCTGGATTAGAAGACCTCCAAGGTCCCTTCCAGCTGTATTCTGATTCTGATCTCTCACACCAATGGGTTCAGGATCCTGCATAGCTCACACACTGGTAGTCTCCATTTTTTTATTTCATTAATGTGAAGACCTTTGACACCGAAAGGGACAACAGAAAGAAAATCCAAGAGTTTGGATACATCTACCTAATATGCAAGTAGCCTAGGTTCGAATCCCAGAAGGGTATCACTAGCTGATGAGAGCTAAATAGCTTGAAATAGATCTACACTAGTCTCCCTTTCTTTGTTAGTAAATACAAATTCAACACTTCCAGTTTAATGCATTTACAATGCTTTATGGCAAAGATGCACTAGATTGACACCCCGAGACACCATCAGGTCTCCAAATGTTGTCCACCAGGAAGAGCAAACATTAAATACAGTACGCTTACATCAAATTAGTGTAATAGAATTTGGATTTTTCCTTATCCTATCTGGTTGTTTACCCCCAGTGGTGGGATCCTACCAGTTTAACAACCGGTTCGGTGATCGCTTGCTTCATGCGTGTGTGCAGTTTTGAGAAAACTTACCTTCCTCATTACTGCTGGGGAGAAAAATAGCTAAGGTGCAGCAATCCACTCTGCCGTGTGACTCAGTTAAGAAGATATGGGTCAGTAAAGCTCAGGGGTGGGCGGGCAAGCCCAGCTGATCATCAGAGCGAAACCAGTCCGAACTGGTAGAATCCCACTCCTGTTTACCCCCAGTCCAGCCTGGTTTTTTTGAGTTCCCAAAGGCTCAGTCCTATTCTATTATCTTGGCTCCTCCTGGATATTCTACCTCCATATCTTGATTTATCTCTGCGGATCCCTTTCCTTCTTCCAGTCCACCACTTATCTTGACTGTCTCAAGACCCACTGGCTCTTTTTTAATGGCTCCACTCTTAACACCCGATTCTTTTTCTTTTCCTTCCAATCCTTTCAAAATGCTTGACACAAACCTTCTATCTTCCTTCCTGGATGGAATTGAATCAAGAAGACTGACATAAAGAGAACTAAAAGCTTATGCTTCTCATTTGTTCCTGTCCCCATTGTCTCCTTGTCCCTCCGTGGTCTCCCAGTCAGTCTAAGTCGACAGGACGTTAAACGCAGCTTAGCCATTAGTATGCGCATTTTTAAAAAGCAAAGAGCAGGCATATTTTCGAAGCTTCTTCTCCCGCAACATTGTACTGCTAACTCAGGCATAGAAAACCTTTGCCAGACCTATTCTCGAATACAGATCATCTGCCTGGAATCCACACTGTGTATTGGATATTAATACGATCGAGCAGGTCCAGAGATATTTCACAAGAAGAGTCCTCCACTCCTCTACTCACAATAGAATCCCTTACGCCACCAGGCTCGAAATTTTGGGCTTGGACAATCTGGAACTGCGCTGCTTGCGGTCGGACCTAAGCATAGTACACAAAATTGTCTGCTACAACATCCTACCTGTCAACGACTACTTCAGCTTCAACCTCAATAATACATGGGCAAACAATTGATACAAACTCAAGGTAAGGCATTTGCAGAAAATATGACTTCAGCAACAGAGCGGTCAACACCTGGAATGCTCTACCTGACTCCCTTGTAACATCGGGATGGATGGATGGATGGATGGATGGATAGATAAATAAAGATATACCTAGATAGATAGATAGATAGATAGATAGATAGATAGATAGATAGATAGATAGATAGATAGATAGATGTATAGTTAGGTATAGATAGATAGATCGATAGAGAGAGATAAGATACATAGATAAGAGATAGATAAGATAAAATATAGATAGGTAGATAGATAAGATAAAGATAGATAGATAGATAGATAGATAGATAGATAGATAGATAGATAGATGGATGTATAGTTAGGTATAGATAGATAGATCGATAGAGAGAGATAAGATACATAGATAAGAGATAGATAAGATAAAATATAGATAGGTAGATAGATAAGATATAGATAGATAGATAGATAGATAGATAGATAGATAGATAGATAGATAGATAGATAGAT